CCTTCGTTCAAATCACAAGTAAATCCAACTAGCCTTCAAGAAACATTTCGGCAGCATATCCCTTGTGTTTACCTATTTTCCAGCCATCATGGCTTCATTATTTCCTCAAATCAGTCCCAACAGTTCGTACAAAAATAATCTCATTCCCAAAAGCTGTTCACTAGGCTTAATGGCATTCAAGTACAAAATTTAGCTAGGAAATGACCGGATATGAAAGTCAAGCCCTAAACTATTCAAATAAACACAATAAGACTCGATTACATGTCATAAACCAATTCTACATACCACCAAAACATGGTTCCCTAACCATACACAAGCAATAGAGGAAACCAGAAAATCCGGAAATAGAATTAGCTTTGCCCTGAAAAAAAAATAGTTTTTGACCTCTTTTTGCGGTAATAGCACCAAAGACACTACGATTACCGATGAAGGTGTAAGATACACCGTTTCGAAGCTAAAAGACAGGGCTACAACATTACAGAAGGTCACTCAACCCAGTTTTGAGTGCAACCATGTCAAAAATGCAAGATACTACACACAAAACCGTAAAACAGATTCACAAAATGCATTCTAGCGGAAACATCATAAATCAGGCTATCCAAGTCCAAATTCAGAAATTCCAAAACCAGCTGAAAGCTAAGAAACAGGGCTACATTTCATCAGAAGACCTCAACAACCAATTCCGAAGCAATTCCAACCAAACAATCAATTACAGGCGCAATTCTTACATTCGGGTAAAACCAGGACAGCAAGGGTAATTTCGACTTTTCTCATCCTACACTACTCGGATTGACCTGAAATTTTGTAGGCACCTCTAAAATGTCATTTCCTACAACTTTCATGTTTTAAGCCAAGACCAATTCGGCCTCTAACTAGGAGCTATAAAACCGGGCAGAATGTTATTCATAAAAACCCTAACTTGTCAATTTTTCTTCCAAACAGAAATTGGTTGTAATTACCACTTTTTCCACCTCCTAGAGTCATTATATACCATTTCCAATCATCATAGATAGCCACACAATCATGTTCATATTAAAACAGAAAAATCACCAATAAATAAAAAACTTCACTAATTCAACCATAAATCAAGATGTAATCCATAATATTGCACTTTATACTACCACTAATCACAAATTAAGCATCATTAGAGGGAGGAGAATGGTTCTTCTCAACTCACCTTAGAAACAAGAGAGAGGGAGCAATAGGTCCTCTTAGCTTTCCAAATAACTCCACAAATCAACTCACGAACACTAATTGAAAAGGTTTTATGGAGAAATTTCAAGTTTCAATGGCTGGTTGGATGGTTTTGAGCTGAATAGAAGCAAAACTTAAAGAGTTTCTTTCTTTCTTTTTGAGAGAGAGGGCCGACCACTAGAAGAGAGAAAATGGAGAAATTTTGGTTAATTTTGTGCTTTATTTGGTCAAATAGAAAAGGTGAATAGTAGTCTTATTGTAAGAAGCAATCCCATGGTGACACTTGTCACCTTTTATTAAATGCTTACCTAACTTGTCTCTCTTATACCAATCCACTTAGCATCCTCTAATTATCTCTTAACACCCGGTAATTTAATTTCAGTATCCAAAACTTAACCTAGTTGGCCGAATTTTTTCGAACTTTTCGCACTAGTGGGTCCCACGTCCGGTATACGAGCTTAATTTCTCAAAACCTATTCGATACTAGAAAAATCATCTAAAAACTATATCTGCTCCTTAAAAAGATCTAGAATTTTTTTCCTACTCACGAAAATGCAGAAAACAAGCCATGAAAAATAATAAAACCTAGAAAATGGAAAAAAATACGGGTTCTCACAATGACATTAGAATATTCTAACGTAGGAGGTGTTAAATTTTCTTTTTCCTAAATGGGAAATTTGACAACATCCACTCAGCAAAAAGAAATCACACAATCACGAATTAAGGCATAGCAACCAAGAACCACATAGATTATGGTATAACAAATAAAAATACACACAAGGCCTAGATAAATCTTTTTTTTTTGGGTCAAAACCTAGATAAATCATTTGATGAACCACTTTCATGTTTAAGAATAAATTTTACATCGAAAAGCCACGCAAACCTTAGCCTAATACGAGCGTCAAAGTATTCATTGAAACTCGTCCAAGCTGATCCAAGATACAAAACTTCATAAAATTGTCAGAAACAGATCATAACCTACTGATTTTAAGTAATACACATAAGATAAAAACTCAAAAAGAAGTATTAAACGATGTACATAATGAGTTACAACTAATAAACAATATTGTCAGACATACCTTTCTAAAACAAGGCAACGGGGTGTTTGGATTACACATTATTTTCACCTTATTCACACACATTAACTTGCTTGCATCATCAACACATTTTTCAATTACCTTTTTATCTCACATTTATCACATCAAAAAAATGCTACAATATTTTTTCATAAAATTGTCTCAAAATAATTTATTGTCCAAACACACGCAAACCTTCCACCCGTTTAGCTTGCTAATGCTCGTTGGCATTCCGCCGCCGCCGCCGCCACCACGACCCACTTTAGTCCTTCTGTCCCTCTCTCCAAAACCCAACTGGGGCAATTGATTTTCTGTTTCCTTGGAGGGATTCTTTGATATTTTTGGTTAGAGAGATTGGAACCAGAAAGTACATAAAGTAAGGCCTTAATGTTATGAAACAATTTAAAGTGTGAATGTTCCTTTGTATTCCCAAGAGGATTAATTCATGATTTATGGCCATATTATGTATAGAAGTTACAATCCATAAATCTACTCATGTAGTGGAGAAACCGTTTCATAAGTTTCTTCATATTCTTGTAATAGTGGGTGTTTAATAGGATTGATGTTCCTTTAATCTTGTAGTACCTATATATAGAGGTACATTGACACCCTTTGGAATGACTTTTATATTAGTTGGAATATAAGAAAATCATTCTTCATTCCTCTACTCATTTCCCTAATATTTCAATTCCTATTATAGTATTTCATTTTATTAGTTTTACAACACTTAAGAAGTCATAGTATTTATTCCAAGTACTTTTCAATTCCGTTTTGGTTCACGCTTTAAATGGACGATGGAAATCAAAACTGACGAAACCAGTTCACTTATGCAAGGGCAACAATGTGGGTCGAAAATACATGATATGCTTTGCTTTGTTGTGGTAGGGAAATGGTTTAAATGTTTGTATTCTGTGAAATGTAAATAATAGTGCACACATTTGAATTTTTTTTTTTATCACAAGACAGATCTTCATAATTCATTTCCTACATACAAAATCTAGCGCTTACAAATGCTTACCATGTTATCTGCACAGATGAGATCCTGTGAATTCAGGACATGGTCATGTGTATTGTGGGATTTTAGTTTTGAAATTTGGATCCCCAAGATTATGGCAATGCTATGTTAGAATTCTTAACGTTGTAGGAGCAGTTTTAGAAAAGAATTTCAGTGGCAAACAAATTTTTATCTTCTCAGTAATAAAATAGGAACATTAAAGTTTGCCCCATTGATGTCCCTCACAATTGATAATTACAATTGTAATACGTACCTTCTTTCTGGAGATGTTGAGCATCTACTATTTAGGAGAGGATGCGTTAAATTTGTTCAATAGACTTTGAATAGGATTGTTAATGGGCTCGAGCTACCCCGCGAGTCTAATTTGACAGGATAGAGCTTGTATCTGAATATTATGCCTGAATTAAATGTGAGTTGAGCATAGGCTTTATTAGAGTCAAATCCAATTGAGCCCAACTTGTGTATAAGTATAATTATATACATAAAATATATAAAAATATTTATAATTTATAATTATACATATTACAGCATAAAAATATTAGTATTAATAATTTATATGTAAATTTATAGCAATTAATAATTTTCAAATATACATTATATAAATTATATATTTATTTATGAGTTCAGGTTGAACCAGATTTAAACTCGAAACTCTTATAAAAGTATGAGTTGGGCTTTAACCTTCTAATTTAGGCTCGAGTCCAAAAGTCCAAAAACTCTATTTAATTTGTGAGTCAAACTTGGGTTTGTCAAAACTCGATTTAGAAATTTGGATTGATAGTCCTAATTTGAATAGCCTCCAAAATGCTACCATACTTACCATAGGTGTTAGCAAACGTTTATATTTTAAAGACTCAAGTGAAGGAATTTTACTAATTGAAATGAATATTATGTTCTAAGTATTAAAGTGACTCACTTTGGAATTTAGATACCAAAGTAGAAATCTGGATATAGTTGAAAGATCAACCCTCAAAAAGATAGTAATATACATTGGTAGGTAGGTTTGGGTTTACCTTAGGTATATATTGTACGTATCCGTCAATCTAAGTACAACATCAATCAGTGTGCTCAAAAAAAAAAAAAAAAAAAAAATCAATCAGTATTACAGAACTTAGGACAACCAGTACTAAATGCTTTTACTTGATGTAAGGTCATAGAGAACCAACATACATGGGGAAAAAGCAATTTTCCAAAAAAAAAAAAGAATTATCATGTTTTTCCTTTTTAAACTTAATTTCCCACATAAATAGATCAATCTTTAGTCCAAATATCATTTCTGTTCATCGTTTCAATTATTTAACACAAAAATTCATCTATAGGCAGGAAATGATTTCTCCCACAACGTAAGTTGAAGTGGAGATTAAATTAATAGACAAAATCTCAAATTTGAGAGAAAATAATTGGTCACAGCATATAACAACAAAATTGTTTCCCCTGCATAGCTACTGTACAACAGGCAAAAATCAAATGTAACAGTCCCCAGACGATTTGAAACCCTAAAAAAGATAACCCCAACAGTTCATTAACTTTTTTTTTTATTAGGTTTTTTCTCCTTTTTCACATTTTAAATCTAGGACTATATAATGACCCACAATTATCTACTTAGGGTTAGTAATAGTAATCTCGATTTGGTCTGCATGACTTTCAATACTGACGTTCTGTTCTGCACCAACTGATCGTTATTCCTGTCACTGCTTTTCTCTCTTTCTTGATCCTCAATGCTCGTGTCCTCTTCTGGCACCGGTTGAGTATATCTTTTTAATCTCTTTGCTTTTTCCCCACGAGACAACAAATAATGCAGCAATTATGAGAATGCCTCCAAGCAAGCTGTAGCACACAAAAGTATTAGTAGAACTAGTTATATAGAATCCCATGACTAAGACACGTAAAATTTCATAAAACTGCACTTCCGGGAAAAATGAATATTGGAGTTGATGATCTTGCATGGTGGCAATTCAGCATTTCTATTTTTCTTTCTTGAAAACGTAGTAGTGGCAACCTTAGCCATGCACCATCAAGCATATACATATAAACTATATATATATATATATATATTTGGCAATTGACATTGAAGTGGATACAGTACATGATAAAGAAGAAAGTTGGCACATTTTTGTGTGTGACAAACGTACCTTCCCAAGTACAGCTTCTCATCCAGTACAAGTGATCCGACTATTGCAACAAATATAAGCAGCAGTGGATTGAAAACTGACACAAACACTGGACCTCTCATTCCTACAACTTGAGCAATCACTACGAACATGATTCCTGAGCCCACAATCCCCTGCAAATTAAGCAGCACGGAGCATGTGATCGTATGATTGCATGTTAAACGAACAGAAAACTTCAATAATATTTTGCCAGAAATAGTTGATGTTCAATTTTGTCTTAGTATTGACCTACCGCATATGCTACCGTTAGGAGCCTAATATCCCATCCTAACTTCCATTGACTCCAGTCTCGCTGCATGCAAAGTGCAGAAACAGTACCGAAAAGTGATGCAAAGAAAACCACGAGTGCCGTAAATGATTGAGGACATGGGTACACTGCAGCTGCCTTGGCCTATTTCAAGAAACAGAATATGAAACGCAGAAAGTCAATTACAAAATCAAAATTGTAGTATATTGCAAGAATTAAAGAAGCGGTAATAATTGATCTTAGTTACAGTTAATTTTCTCGAGCTCACCTGAATAATCAACCAGAGGGAGTAGAAGACACAGCTGACTATTGCCAGGATAACACCAAGTGCGAGGTTACCAGTTTCAGCAGCATGGGATGGATGATGACTAGTTATTTTCATAAGGTTAAAGTTTGTTTCCCAAATTGTGATATTCGCGGCCTTTATAGAATGTAAACAACATTGCCCCGCCAATGCCCATCAATGTTCCCAACACCTTTGCTTTACCTGCCAGTGTATGCCACCCTAAATTTTCCAACCTGAAATGTAGGAAAAGTTAATCTCAATGAAACCACAAATCAGGATGGAAATTGTTCCAGCTACAATTAGAAGTCAAAAAATCAAGTCAAGAAATGAATAAAAAGAATCTATAATCATAGCGACTCGAGAGGCACATACCTCAAACAAACGGCTACTATAAAGGTAATACCAGGTATCAGATTGACCATAGCTGCAGAAAATGTTGCAGACGTAAGTACCAAGCTTTCTAACATCAGATTCTGCCCCAGTGCGCCACTGCAGTAAACAAAACCAAACAATTTTAGTGGATAGACGAAAAAGGAAACATATCACTAGTGGTTTTTTTTAAAAAAAAAAATTATTTGGGGTGTTATAATTCGTTATTTGACAATCTAAATCTCTCATACAAATACATGAGAAATTCCATGATTTAGTGAATCTATACATTACCATATTAACTCAACCAGTGTTCAGTTCCAAAGCGGTATGCCTCTTGTACTTTCCACCAAATTAGTTACAAAAGTTAGAACTGTCAGAGATAGACTAAGTATTCAGTTAGTGTAGAAACCATTGATGATATCGTAAGCGAATTAAACGATCCATGATAATAAATTCGAGTTCTAGCCTAAGAATTTCTAGTTCTAGTTTAAGCTACCAACAACAAGCCCTTTAGAGATTATCTCCACACCAACATTTTTGGAATAACTAACAATCTTGAGGCTATGACTATGAACAAGAACACTGAAGAGTGAATCTTTCTTATGAAGGTATATGGTAAAAAGTCTAACCCAATAAACAGAAGGGCAAATAATGCATGTAGGAATGGGTACCTGAATTGAGTTGCATTGGTAATGTATGCTAGAATGAGCACCTGCACTGAGGTGTTGCATTGGTACGGTTGGCTAACTACAGTAGTATAGGTTGGTAGGTCCGTGCTTTTCATAGGAGTTTCCACGTGTTAAAAGAAGACCATGAAGTAAAGCTTCCGAGTTGAAAACGAATAATTGTACTCCACAGAACATAGAACTATTTCTTTTGACAAAAAAAAAAGAGAACATAGAACTATTTCTTCTTCTTCTTTCTTTCTTCTTTTTTTTTTTTTTTTTTTTTCTAGATACGATGGACCTATATTTATTCTATACTAGAAAAAAGGGAGATTTGAAGAGGCCAACGGAAAAACCGGTGGAGATTAGAAGGTAAGGTTGAACTTTGACCTTCCATTCCACCAAACCTTACAGGCTTTGGTGGTGGCCATTGAGCCAAACTCAGTGGTTGAACATAGAACTATTTCAAACTTACCCAAATAACCCGCAAAGAAGCGCGAATAAGGACACTTTCCAGGTCAGTTTTGGCCTCTTTTTCCTGCAATATTCAGTACAGGATCAAGGTAGCCGTATTAGAACTTTGTCATGATCGAGGTGTTTAATAGTAATATGTTGGAGTTTGAGAATAAAGAAATTGGGAACTTCAATTGAGAACTAGATAAAAAAAAAATATCTATGCAGCACAATCCTCTAGCTCTAATTTGAAAACGAAAAATAAGGCCCCGTTTGAATTTGTTTTGAGAGAAAATTTCGATATCCCGTGAATATCCATCCTACACAATTTTCAATTAGGAACGGGAGTTGCTAAGTGCACCAAAAGTTGTTTCTGCAAAATATGGACACATAATTTGCTGAACATGTGAAAAAAGTTGATTTCTATCAATTTTGAACAAAAACCCTCCAATGCTCCACAAGCCATGCAAGCAAACTTAAATGGTGATGAACATTAAAAATCTTCATGAAGTTTTAACTCCAGAAAATCAGCATGACTGAACGGTATCAATCAAGAAATTATAGCATGAACTCCAGAATCTAATTCAGGTAAAACATATATAATACGTCAAAGAGAAGGAAAACTATAATAATATTAGTAAACATTAGCAGTTACAAATATGATTTCGGACCTTTCAAGAAAGAATGCAACGGGAACAATGAAAGCAGCGCCAAAAAGAAAACGATAAGCCACCAAAACCCTGAGATCCATCCCATCAGTGGCTGCGAGTTTATACATAATATTGATCCCTGAAAAAATTACCTGTACCACCACCATTAGGATTGTTGCCTTCAACCCGTCACCCACTTTGCTCATGGTTGCCATTCGAACCACGTTTTAGGGTTTGATAGGGTAGAGACGGAGTTGAAGAGGTGGAATTATGGGATGGGAATATATATAATACATATAATATAATAACAAGCTAGCAAATATGAAAGAAACCAAGATTGCACCGACATTTAACAAGGAGATGCAATTGCAATGGGACTGTGTTTTGATTAGGTTGCACATAGATATCCAAGAGAGCCAGTGGGATACCTAATGGCATTGATGACGTAGGGGATGATGTATTTGATGATGTATGCGGTTTCATATATATATATATATTATATATATATAGGGTTAATTGGGCCCAGTCCTTTTTTTTTTTTTTTTTTTACTTACAATCCTTCTACTGGACCACCACCCAACCCAACATTCCCCTCCCCAAGTCCATGTTAAATAGAAACTTTTCGGACATGGGTTACAATCAATTAATTTTCTGTAAAGTCTCCTTCATTGTTATGCTTACCCATATCCCTACGTGTTGGCTATGGAGACTTAAAATATTGTAACAGCAAATCCCTTTAAACGGTTAAGGCTTGATCCTTCTTAAATTACAGAGTTCTTTTTATGGTTAGCAAACACTTGTGACAATTTGTCCTTGGAGCCTTTACTTAATTATTTTGACCAGATTTTAGAGCTCACCTTGTACTATTTTAGTTGCTTTAACCAATTCCTGCACTTTATTAGGTATTATTCAGTCAAGTTTAAATGCTACACAAGGCACTGGTTCCGGACATCCACCATTTAAGGTTTTTTTCCCAAATTTGTCGGAAAAAAAGTTTTTAGTTTCAATTTCCAAAAGCAATAATCTGAGGACATGATCGAGTCATTATAATAGCATATTAGAAGCCGGAGGTGATGAATGGGTTTTTTTTTTTTTTTTTTTTTAACTTTATAAACTTTTGACATTTGAGACATATACTCAAAGTCAAAGCAGCAGAATCCAATTTAGTCAAATGTTTCCATGTTCCCAACCAGAAAATTCAACCAATGCGCGGGGCGGGGTTAATTAAAAAATAATAATAAAGCATTGAAAGATGATGCATTGCAGTAAAACCGCAAAACCGTCGTCCACATGCACTCGGATTTACGACCTCTATTTCATCATACTGGAATTATAGCCTCTATTTAATGGGCTTGTTTGATGGTTGTCGTTTAATAGCATATTTAGGCCAAATAAAAATTAGCTGTATTTGGCATGGCTCCCTGAAAATTTTCCTCACCGTGGATAGAATGTCGGAAACAGCAAATCGTGCCCCTATATAAACTCGAGTTTACCAATGATTTGATCACCGCGATTTGAGTAATCTCCTTTTCTCTCTTGAGTAATTTGCTCAATCTTTCTCTCCTCAAAGCCAAAATTTGCGAGAGAAAGGTTTGCCTGCGCATCAAAGAAAGGGAGAGAGAGAGGAAGGGATTGCTTCTGCATCTGTCGTTGAAGAAATACTAGAAAAAAAAAAAAAATGGTGCCTGTGCTAGCGTTCAAAAGGGCATGAAGGAAGAGGCTACAGCTCCACCACCGGAGCCAGCCAAGGAGGAGACCACCACCGAGGTGCCACAGGTCCTCGCCCTGGAAGAAAAGAAGGCTGAGGAAAGTGCTCCCGCAGAGGCAGTAAGTGAAATGCATCAATCTCTCACTAATTCTTTGTTCAACGAACGCATTATTACGTACAGGATTTAGATGCCATCATCATCATGTATTATGATCTACTTTGTAAATGCGAATGATATGATCCGAAAGTCTCTCTCTTTTTTTATTTTTTATTTTTTAATTTTGTGTGTGTGTGTTAAAATTAAAGGCACCAGCCGAGCCATCCACGACAGAAAAGGCTGAAGAACCAAAAGCAGAAACCCCGGAAGAGCCGAAATCAGAAACACCTGAAGAACCAAAAGCAGAAAAAGCTGAAGAACCAAAAGCTGAGGCAGCAGAGGCCGTTCCTGAGAGCAAGCCGGCTGAGGAACCAGCCAACGATACAAATGTTGCAGAAGAAACAAAAGAAGAAAGCAAAAAGGAATAGGATGGACGACGTTTTATAAATTCTAGCAACTCATGATATATTTTTCAATAATATTACCTATAGGGTGGGAACAGGGGATGCTGCTAGCAGTGAAAAGAAATGCGGGATTTACCGGTGATTGATTTAAGTCGGTGAATATCTGTTTTTGGGAAAGGGTGTGTACGAATTTCTTGTTTTTTGACAGTTGATAAATTATTAGAAGAAGTTCATTTCAGGTCAATGTCCTTTATTATTCTTTTTCTCTCTGCTTCTTCTTCGTCTTTCTAGTTTCTCCTCCTCCTCCTTTACAATCGACTGCAAACTCGCTCTTCCCACTCTGAAAAAGATCTGCTGCAAACTGGATCTTATATCTTGCACATAAGTCGGCCAGCTACACTATATACGCATTCACATTTCTGGTCATCCGGTCGGACGGACAACTAATCAGATGCGAAATACGACCGAGTTTGAGACTGAGTGCATGTGAATGTGTAAAAACGGGGGATTCAACAAATCCGTCGTAATGTACCGAAAGATAACACAAACACTCCTACGAACCAAGTTGTATATACCCAACAATAATAGTTATCAAGATAGCTATTCAGTAATTACTACGGCTAATTTTGACTTCTTCAATGCAGCGTCCTCCATAGCTACCGTGCCTTAGAGAATTAATCAGATAAAATTTCAGATTCCAAGAATTACGTATGAAACTGCATCCGTGGTGTCATTAACTCCAAAAAAAAAAAAAATAGCGCACCAGTAATCGAGCACAGGAAACAATGGCGCTGAATGAAAAAACAATATGGTGACAAGAGAATTGTGGAATAGGACACTGAGATGGAGAACCGAAAACTGCAATCACGACATTATAGGTATGCAGTGCACTATTAAGCAGAGGAATTTTAAGATATAATCCACTTGAGGCAAATTGTCTAACATAGCAACGAGAAGCATGTAGTAGTGAAGCAAATATCTATAGAAATAGCAACGAGATAAAACCGGGTTTTTCCAATTCAAGTACAAGTTCAAGCTAGGAAATTACAGAAATCAATCCACGAAACATCAACTACAAAAAGAAAAAGGAGATACTGCTTAAACATCAGCAAGCCGGTTCCTTCAGAACTTAACCTGGATAATGACTTTACAAAACTTGCCATCAGTTGCTGCATAAGACTTTCCAAATGCTCATTTGCTGCCTGTGAAATACATTCAACAAAACAACAAGATCAATTTCAATATGATGCTACTATGCTTATTTGACGCCTGCATTATCTAGACAATATTGTATTGAGACAGTATTCAATCAGGACCTCTTTTCCAGTATTTCAGTTTAACAGCCAACCGTTGATTCTCAAGCCTCATAACCTGATTTTCCAGCCTCATCTTTTCCAACTTCAAGTCCTGTTGTTGGGTGTCCCTGAGAAACTTCTCCAGATCGAGTCTCTGCTCCTGTATTTGCAATTTCTGCTCCTCCAAGTGCAGTAAGCGAGATGTCATCCAATCATCCTGAGACCGGTCTCCCTCACCACCCTCGTTCGTAAGAGAAATCGGATCAGTCTGCTCGTTTGATAGATGATATGCTGATTTTCTATTGCAATCAGAAGCACTCCTGAAACCTGAAACTCCAAAATCTTCAAGCTCTCTCCTTCTTTTTGCAGGCAGCTCATGACTCACATATTGAGAGAGCTTGCCTTTAGCTTTAAGAGCCACTTTAACTAAATGTTGGAGAGACTGATCATGAGGAAGAAAAAACCGATTCCCATTATAATATGAGCACATTTCTTTAAAGAACAACTGTTTGCTACTTAGAATCTTCATGACTTCTGCCACTACTTCTTTAGACAGATCCATTGAGTTCATAAGCTTCGGGTTCTCTACAACCTTACAAGCTGTACCTCTGCCTAGTAAATCATTCAGCCTTCTGTATTTTTTGCTCAAATCATAGAATTTATCCTCACATTGATGTGGTGTTACATGATAACCTCTTTGTACCATGACGTTTGAGATAGCTCTCCACTTGCCTGCCTTTGGGCAACTCACAAATCTAAAACGCTGAACTGCAACATCATCCTCTCCAGTGTAGGAAAGAGCAGTAATCAGAAGCTTTACCATATCATCTGTCCATTTTATCCGCTTGTGTGAAGTTTCTTTTACCCCTCCACCACCTTCAATTTCATTATCTGAACTTTGCACAACATTTAAATGTTCACCAGTACCAACAAAATTGTCTATTTTCTTACCCTCGTTATGTTCAGTCAATAGAAGAGGCTTATCAGGTCCTTGCACTCCAAAAGGCAACATATCCAGGAAAAACTTAGGAGGAAACACAAATCCATCATATGAAGGGTAGCTTTCTTGTTGACCATTGACTGGCTTCAGTAACCACTGTTTTTGCATGTTAAGTGTTTATCTGGCATCACATAAGCACAAGCCAATGAGTGTCCTATATCACATTAGAAAGAACATTCACATCATTTCACATGGAAATTCTACTTTGAAAATACAATTGGAGAAAAATCCCAAAGCAAGAAATTTTCCAAATTAAATGTCTCATGTGCAAGATCATCCCCCACGGTTGTGTAAAACAGCTAAATAAAATTTTACAACAGTGAAAGATATAGCACTTAAGATTATAATGAAAGACCTAGATTTTCATAGACACAAGCAAACATCTATGCTTGATTTCAAGATAAATGCTTGTGCTGATGAAAATGTATAGAAGAAAAAATACCTTGTTGGCAAGTTCTTCAACGAATTTGAGTCACAAATCGATTCGAAATCTATCTGATGAGGCCAAATAAATCTTCTGCATCATAGAGAGAGAGGAGATAGATGAAAGTGAGTGTTCAGAACATTTCATGTATTCACCTTGTTTTGAACGCCGTGGCGAAAAAGAAAAAAGAAAAAAAGGACGCCGTAAAAGTAGGAATTGTAAACAAGTGTCTTCCCATTTGACAACTGGCTAATGTTTCCGCAACCAGAAGTTCAAAATCATTTAATGACTTTGAGATCACTGTAACTCTCAATTTGTGACATCAGTTCCCTTTTAGAAATGTCTATATTGAGATATAATCATAATTACTTCACATACAATCTGAATTAAGATTAGGA